AGATTTAGTCATAATTGTGTGCGTTGTATGTTATTTTAAACAAGCCTTTAAAGATGATTTTCGAAAGTAAGATGCAAGGTGGTTTTTGTGCGGAGATCACTAAAGGGTATGTATCTCCAAGATGTGATGGTTCCAGAGATGTGCACATGGATTCCAGGTGCAGAAGGACACTTGTGTGGATGCTGGTACAGCTTGAGTCAAAACCTGAACAGTGTAGATGCTTACGGTAAAGATAGTTGTCCAGAATTTAAACAAAACTCTTTCATGAAATGTGAGTAGAAAAAGTCATTGTTTCCAAATGAATGTACTTTCCACATTACGTAAGTTTTAAAAGTTAAGCTTCTTATTTTGAGATAATTATAGGTTCAACTGCAGTTGTAAGAAATAATACCAAGATTCCTTGTACACCTTGCCCAGTTTCCCCCAAAAGTAACATCTTGCAAAACACAGACATACTGTATCACAGCCGTAACACAGTTGCTGACATAATCCATGATCTTTTTAAGACTTCTCGTTTCACTTGCATTCACTGTGTGTGTACGTGTGTGTGTACCTGACACGAGTGTATCACGTGTGTGGGTCCGTGTATCCACGCCACAGTCAAGATACAGACACATGTCCCTTGACGGCTTTTGCCCATTTTCTAATTGGACATGTGTTTTTTTGTTGAGTTTGGAGGGCTCTTTATATAGTCTGGATACCAGTCCTTTGTGGGGTACATGGTTTGCAAATATTTTCTCCCAGTCTATGTCTACAATCACCCTTTGATAAGAATTGTATCACACTACAGATCACTCTGAGAAGACTTGACATCTTTACTGTACTGAGTTCTCTGATCCATGAAAATGGTCTCTCTCTCCATTCTTTTACGTCTTTATTGGTTTCTTTTTTTACCGTTGCCTAATTTTTAGCATACAAGTCCTGTGTACACGTTGCTGTTTACACCCAAGTATTTAAATTTGACATAATTGTAAATGGTATGTGTCTTTAATTTTGGTTTCCACACGTTCCAAGTTGGTGAATAGAAATGTGATTGATTGTTCTGTGCTGCCTCCGAATATGAGCCCTCTGGATGGGGAGGGGAGTCCCACAGCAGAGCTGGAGCATCACGGAGGCAGAGAGCACAAGGCAGCATCACGTCCATTTATGTCAGCCCCACACAGTGGGCTACACAGGTGCCCTCAGGAGGAGTAATACTAGGGAGACATGGAGAGGTGTCCAAGGTGGACCTCGGGGGAGGGAGGAAGCTGGACAAGAGACTTCCTGCGCCCACAGGGGAGCTCTTGTGGAAGACGGACAAGGTGGTACCTCCCTCCTCCCTCCCTTCCAGCGCACAGAAACATATATCTCCTAGCTCGGCCCCAGCTGTTTCCTCAGCTGTAAACTGCAGATAACAACCAGGCGGGAGAGGCTGCCTGCCCCCGCCCTGGGCGAAAGCCCGTGCTCCAGCACAGCTCTTCCCCTGTCGGGGGACAGGTAGCCCCGCCCTCCTTCCTCTGCCGGGACCACCTCTGCCCTACCGGGCCGAGTCTAATGACTAGTGTGGATTCGAGGCGCTTTGCAAACTGACCCCAGCCTCCTCTTCCAGGCTGGCCCTCTGCTGCTCCTTGTGACTTGTTTGGACCTCAGGCATTGGCGGCGGGGGTGTGTGGGGTGGGGGTGTGTTGCAAGACCAGGAGGAATTCAGTCTTCCAGCAGGGGATTTGGCCTCTTTGAAGAGATGGCCCTTGCTGCTTTCCTTTTCTACTGCCCTGGAGTGGGTGTTGCCTTGAGGTTGTATCCTCTCAAATCCTCAGACACTGTGGCTCAGTGTCTTCTCCTATTCTCTCCTCATCTTCCTATATGACAAAGTCAGAAAAGTCATCATCAGGTGATGCTGATGCCCTGGTGGCTGGTGGAGAAGGAAACCTACTACTAGACCCCATGTTGCACACTGTGGAGCACCATGTCACACACTCTGCTCCCATTATCCACCCCCCCTTTTCGTGTACTTTATTCTTGGAGTTCATAATTCTATAGTGGTAGGGAAGCACTGAAACATGTGGAGGAAGCAAGATGTTCTGAAATGAAACAGGTAGCTATATGGGGTGGGGGTGTGGGTGGGGGGGCGGGGAAGGATCTTTCCACAACACCCTTCAGGAAGTGTGGCCCCCCCCGGGGCGGTGACTTTCCGGCGCCCTGTCCTGCACCCGCCGCGTGGGCGCCTCCGCCGCGGGGAGCACACAGGCCGCGGGCCTGCTTGGCCCCTGCCAGGGGACCTTGTTCTTGTTGCTGCGGCTGCCTTCTGTCCCGGCCGCCGGGGGAAGACCCAGCTGCTGAATCGTCCTCTTCCGCCTGGCGGGGTGGTGACCCCCGCCCGACCCCGCCTCCGAGGGCGGCCCCAGCCCACGCGCGGCTCCACCCGCCGGCCGCCCGG